GTAATATCATTGTATTTCACTGTACATGATTGATTAATAAAAACATTAGTCACAGAGATCAGAGTAATGAAAAAAACAACTTACAAAAGAGAAAACAATAGCAGAAGCATCACGGAATTAATGAGTATGGAGGCTGTTCAGGGAAGCCAGGGCTTATGGGGAACAGCCTTCGGACAGACATGACAGACATGTATTCAATTTGTAATTCTCAATGTGAACTTTATCTACATATAACGACTGCTCGGAAGAAACAATAAAATGTGAGATCAAGCACAAAAAGAATAGTAAGAGACACAGGACCTGCCTCAAAGCAAAGTGGCATATTGTGTAATTTAATCAAACCAGAAATTGCATTGGCATGAAAATAACAAAAACAATCTCTGAAGACAATAAGTTGGTGCATGAACATGACAGGTCCGACGAGAGCAAAAAACTACCTGCCTCGTCACTCTCCTTGCAAACAAGCCCGAAAAAATTGATTTTCTGAACTGACTTCACCTCTTTACTCCTAAGTCATTACATTGTCTACAACAAAATTATTGCAATAGTTTGTAAGCTTCAGATTTCATCAAGGAAAGTGGAAGTAAAATATGGATGCCTTTTGCTGAGATTACATTATCCTTCCTTTCTGAAAGGGTTTCTTGGTGAACGGCTGTCTGTGGAACAGTTCGGAACCTGCTATCAAGACGCCCCAAATACTTTTTGTTTTGGATTCTGTTTGGATTAGCAAGATCCACTGGAACCCGTCTTCTGTACTCATTTAACCTACCAGACTTTGGCGTTGCCTTTCAAGGGGTTGGTTGGCCGGTACTTCCTGAATGGCTCATTGCGGGACATACGCTCAAATGAGTCCAGCATTTGCATGACATCACGAAACTGGCACAAGTCAAAACATGAACAATAGTTTAAATCTCATATATGGCCAATGTGATCAGTTCTACTCAAGAGCTTTTTCATGACTTTGTTTGTCCACCAATTTCCATTAACCAAACTGGGCGTGGGCTATCAATGTATGATCCTCGATCAATATTTGTCATGAAGATGATCTTCATGCTTCATTCGAATGATAAATTTCAAATCAGCCTTAAACAAGAGACTGAAGTACATCAACTTTATCATCTTTGTTACCAGGTTTTCATTTTGGGATTATGATAACACTCTTCAATTTATGTGAAAACCTCAGTTCAGTTGGCGCTGGCTAAGGTAATGTAACGTCAACTTGCTAAATGCCAAGGAATGACAGTAGTCAAATACTGTCGTATATTGTCAGACTCTACACTCGACAGAAACTGCACAGCACACAGCATAGCAGCACAGTTCTTATTTCAGTCATGTTGGATACCATAATATTTTGCAGGTTGACCAAGGAAAACATAGATGGTTATCTGGTTAGATTTTAGTCTGAGTGGACCAGTGCCATGGTCCATTCTGCAACAGACGGTCACTTTAATCTTTCACACAGTCGACAAGAGTACAGATATACGGAATTTACCTGTTTCTTGCGGAAGGCCAGCCCAATGCTATCGATGACTAAATTCAGCCAGGCTTTAGGGTTTGACAGATCATTCTCTGGTTTGGTGTTCAGTTTCAGCTGAGCCTTCAGGGAAATTGGCTCCACCACTGTTGAAATCAAACAGGTGGTAAGAAACTGTAACTACACTATCTCAGGAATGCATGTGGCACAACATTGGAATAGAGCATTTTGTTATTAATCACATTGCATTCAAAAGTATCCTGCAAACAGCTTATTACGATGTTGGTACTACGTAATTTACAAAGAATAGTTTCAATATGGCTTCAACAAAATCAACCTCATGTGTAGTGACACATAATTTTTATTCACAAGTGTCTAAACTCTGCTGTCAGAATACATGGTACTTCACATGAGTCATTACCAAAGATCATACAGTGCCGAAGGCGCAAGATGGATAACTCTGCCCAAAAGATGTAATTACCATGGGCGGCATTTGAGCAAGCGATACGCCTGCGCAGTTTACAGTAATGCTTAGGCGCAGGCTCACCAGGTGCATGTGGCTACCGCGGCGCCTGCGCCTAAGCAGTAATGTGCATTGCACAGGCGTATCGCTTGCTCAAATGGCGCTCACGCGATTACAACGTTTTATGTTTCTTCAAGGCGAAGTTCGCCATCTTGCGCCGCTTCGCGGCCCTATACGATCTTTGGTCATTACCTCTTACGATGTGTTCAAACTGTTCATGTAAACGTGGCAAAAGGAAAGTGGTATCACGTAAACGAGTTCACCTTACAAAAGCTTACATGTACATGTGGCCTTGTGCAGAAAACCAATGGCAATCATCTGAGCTAAATTACAAATACACTGGAGCAGTTTTTACGTAAACCTTAAATTAAATTGTCAGTGATAATCAGCAGAGTTTTAGAACATTATTTGGAAGATTTTTTTAAGATGGAACTTTCTCAAACAGCTTGATAGTTGTAAGCTTTAGAGTGTTTTCTTGTGTACTCACAGTACTGGAAGTCGCCTGGGGTGTTTTGGGGATCTGCAGTGATGGTGTTTTTCATCTTTGCCTGAGTGAATGATAAAGAAACAACAGAAAAACCTCAATGTTTACATAAAAGAAAGCGTTTTGTGCACAAACTTGATATGAACAAGGTGTAACAGCTTGCACTACGATGAGAAACTATTGGTACAATATATCCACAGTTATTGTTAATATATAATAGTCTGGTTCCCCAATCAAAAGATGCCAACTATTTTGACAGATCTTTAGGTCTGGTAACCACTAGATCATGTGACATAAATGTAGAACATTTCAGAAACATGCCAAAATTGTCCAAACACATTTCACTGATTCAACAAGACAAAGACGGATAAATGTGCAGGCCACATTACCTGCTGCTGGGGTCTATCCAGTCCAGAGTACAGCTCGCTGTTACAATTCCAGTACACAGACAGGCAATCCAGGCGAAGCATCTGTGAACAAACCAACCATTAGTTTACATGTGTGACTTCAAACTTGTGACTTCAAATACATCAAAACATACATCAGAGATTTCACTACTTTTTCTTTTTACTGACCCAGGTTCAAATCCGAACCCTTGCCGACTTGAGGACTGGATGTTCAGACCCAAACAGATTCCACAGGTTTTCCTCAGAATATTTAGCTGGGGTTATATTCCCATCTCTTTACTGTCGACTCTTTGAATTTTGTATCCAAGCAACGACAAAACGTGTCAGAGTAATGGAGAAATTAGAATAGTCTGTAAACAATACCTTGTAAATGAGTTTTGTTGAGGCATCTGCCAAGCACTCCTTCCAGTTGGTGTCTGTGGTCTACAAAATATCAATAAAATATTGATAATACCACACATTACCAATTTCTGTACAGCTAGAAATGTATATAGTATCTCTGTTGTTCATTATTTATTTGAAAGCAGTGAATATACGTAAAACAGATGTTAAACTGTAACAATCCTGAATTTTTTAATGAGCTGTTAGGTATTTAAAAAAAGGGTGGCTTAAAGGTATAAAGCATGTGTACAGGTCCATGAAGGGCAATGAAGGATCATGAGAATTTTCCGGATCCCAGCAATTTTCGATTAATTTCATTCCTTTCCATTTCAATTTGGAAAGAAGGAAACAGTGGAAGAGGATTTTACTCACCTTGAGTGAGATGTTGTGCAGGGTAGCACCAATGGCGAATGGAGCGTCAGGATTGGTCGTCTTATCCTCGTAGCGCAGGTGGATATCTGCCACCTTCACCTGAAGATTCTTAATGACCTGGGTGGCCATCTTTTCCACAAAGGAGTCACCTTTAGGGTTTTTCTCTGGAGATAGGACAGTAAAACTAACCAATGAATCACACATCTCATACACTTTACTTCTGAATCAAATCCCTCGGGACATTTGTTAACAAAGGACGTGTTGGTACAAAATGAAACTTGTGAATATGGTTGCAAGATACTCAAGAATGAAGTTCAAAGGGGCAAAGAGGCTCTGATAGGATGTTAACATTTGCCATTTTTATCTATGATTATATGTATAACGTGGAAACATTTGTGGCTGGAATTTATGATGAAGTCATTACTCATTATATTGGGGAGACGGATTTTTTCCTTCAAAGATGCAATTTTACATTGCAATTTCCACACAATATTCAAACAGTAAGTTTCTCCCAACACAAATTCCTTCACTGGCCATTGCATGGGATACCCCTCACTGGTGCATTAGACTTGAATGGCCAACTAACACAAGCTTTGTGGTCACGTGGTGAGCATGGGTTTGAGTCACACTCAAAAGCCTTTTCAACTTTTAATGGCTCACATGATGAAACTCAGTACACAGTACTTTGGAAATCAGGGGTGTACTGTAGGTCACTGAAGAGTGAAGTGTGAAGCACAGGATTGGAACTAAAACAGTGCAAAAACACAAATACTTGCACAGATAGTCTTTTATGTGAAACTACAGAATGTATATGAAATACAAACATTTACAAAGATCAAATTGGCAGAAGTATCAATTTCAAAATTCTGTTATCAAATGTTTATTACACTATAAACTCCTTATGTAAAAAAGACCTTTAAAAAATTGGGTTTTAAAAGGGTCATGACCTCTGACCTTTGCCTTCTTCCTTCTCTTTCTCCTTCTGTTTGGTAGCCTCCACATGCTGCAGAATTCTCTGCTTTGCCTCAAACTTCTGCTTTGCATCCTTTTCTGCATCATACTTGATATCTGGATACAGACGGATAACAGTTCGTTCAGTTATAGAGGATGGTTTATCAAAATGATTACCCCCCAAAAAAAATTTGGCACCCACTCCACCCTTTATCAACATGAAAAAAATGGTGCTGGTCACAAGTTTGGATGTTATGTTTTTCTCTGTTTACATGTTCTGACCTGGCTTCATGTCTTCCTAAAAGGCCAAAAATTCAACACTGGACTTCTTCGGGTCACATTTACATAATACGGACAATTCGCAACAGTGTGCCACAAAGAGTTTGCGATGCATTGGCCAATCGCAACGAGCGAAATCTGACGACCCTTTCCAAATGTGCCTTGGGTCGATAGATTTCGCGCATTGTGATTGGCCAACGCGTTACAAACTCCTGGTGGTGCACTTTTGTGAAAAAGCCGTATTTCACAACCTGATTTGACTTCTTTCGAGGAATATGTCCTCTTTGCATGTACAAAATAGAAACAAAATGCTGCTTTCCATGAAATTTCATTTACTTCAAGTAATAACATGCTCTGTTTTGTTGCTTTGAGAAACACTTTTTCTACATGAGCCCCAGGCTGCGCCAACAGAGGGTACAATTTTCTGAGCAATGTGGGCCTCTTTGACGGGGACTGTACTTTGCTGGTTCATAAACGACTATGAAATGCACGCGTTACATTTGAGTCACTACCAACAAAATGAATACGTCCCCACCAACACGAGCGAGTGCTTCTGCTCAAGGCAGATTCTAGTACTCTGGTAAGGGCTTCAATAATGAACTTGACTTTTCCAATTCAAGAAACCAAACAACATTTTTGACAAAAGTTAATAACACAACTCTCATTAACACTGTTCATGTCAGAGAATAGTTTGGAGATTTGTAAATCCCATAGTGGCATTCTAGCATCTTCCTACATGTACCTGTGTTGGGTGCAACAATGACATAAAGGCCCTCAATGGATGCCTCCACGGGGGCAGAGTACAGGTTCTTCCATGGGATCTTTAGGGTGAGCTTGCCCAGATGACCTGACTTGATCTTGACAGGCAAGTCAAGCTCGTCCTGTTGGGAGAAATGTACGTGTAAATCAGAATTACAGTGCACATGTACATGTACATAGAAAAGCACCAGAGTCTATCCAATAAAACAACCAGTAGTTTAAGGTAATCGACCATCACTTGCGACTCTTGAATGATCTTGTGATCAATACTGCATACATGGACATGGACATGTATGCTCCATGGAGAAGCCCACTGACCATTTGCATTATAAACATGTATAATGGCACATGTAAAAATCATGCTTGGAGCGACTGCGTAATTTAATGGATAAAATCAGAAATTTGCCTGCTGCAGACAGACAGACAATTACTATTGGTTTGATATTCCTCTCCCAATATTTTGCTGCTGCATGTTCATGACTTGTAGTTTTGCAACTGTTTGTTATGTATGTACACGTCACCATATATGTACATGTCACACATCAGTGGGTCTGCAGTAGAAAAACAGACACATTCAATGTACATGTATGTGTATACATGTAGGTAGATTTAGTGTGCAGTGGCAGGATAGTAATTACTAGAATGACCTTCATCCTTGACTTCCTGTTACAAAAGCAACTCATCCAAATTGGCAGTATAAAAATACTAGGGTGGGCCATTTTGTACTTGAGCACTGCTATAATTTAGGAGGCTGTACACTAGACCTTCATGCTGGTTAACTGAGCACTCTTGAGTCTGTACAGGCATTTTTTTAAACTGGTCGGTCCCTAAGATTCATTTCTCCAATGTTACCTCAAGGGTTGCTTTCACATTTGCAGACATACCTACATGTAGTACACATGATGTACCGTACAACAAAAATGATGCAATGCTTCACATGTACAGACATGTACATGTACACTTGTTATACCACGGTCATACATGTAGAAGTGACTTTTTATTGGTAGCGAACTGATCACTTCATATGCTACAAGCGTGCATGCATCATTCACTCGTCGCGAACAATGGTGATACCCGCAAAAATTATGGATAATGTTCAGTGATCTTTCCCGACCACAGTTGAAGTCTCATTTCTACTGCGATGTACACATGATTGTTAATTCTTGGGTACAAGGGTGGACAGCCACGGCAATACTACGCACCAATTACTGTAGATATACACTGTGTGTTGCTGCAAAAGAGCCCATAAAACTTTATATTTTTACAGAAAATTTACAAATCTGGTAGGTTTATGCATAAAAACTGAATGGCACTTTCAAATCGTTTTAACCCACTCAGAGCAAAGCTGTACACATGTTTTCTTGTTCAGCAAACAATTTAGACATGTAATCCACATTAATACAAGTTGCTGCCAAAGACACACATGTACCCGTGTAATACCTCCTTCACAAATGATGAGGCCACCTACAGTGCTTATGAACACATGTACAGTCTGTGAGAATTCTCTGTATTCAACAAACGTAATAGGGCCTATGGGCTACCCCACAGTCCAGCCAGTCAACTCAAGCAGTCTGGATTGACCAATGGCACTCACAAAATGCAATGCATAAACAAACAGGGTTTCTACTGTGTGTGTGCCATTTGAGGGGCTCGCTGATGGAGCATAGCTGGCGCATATGTATGGTCAGGCTCTGCCTTTGCATATTTGTGAAGCACAACATGTTGCACATGTACTGTACTTATACGCAAACACATATTGTACATCTGTTAGCAAATCTGTGGAGTATGGGGCACATACTGAGGACTGACGAGGGAAAAAGTACTGTACAGTACATGATCCTAATCTTTCCATTTCTTTGATGTAATTCAAAACTGTATAAATTATTCAGAATTAAATTAGTGCTGAACTATTTTTGGTAATTAAACATTATACTTAGTGCCGGAATATGAACTCACACCAACTTGGTCGTATTCACATGGAATATTTGCTAGTACTGCTATAACTCTGCCAATGTCATGCATACATTTTTACCTCAAATTTTTTAGTCACCCCTGTATCATACATTTGACGCATCTGCACAAACTCTGTATGGTGGAAGGACCAGTTCATTTCCAAGATGGCATCAAATTCTCAGCCTTCCTTTATTGAACATTATCAGGGATGATTTGCAACAGGAAAGGGCTACTACATGTACTGGAATACACAGAGCAGAATGAAATTGGTCAGCAAATAAAGCTTCCTTGATGCTGATGAAATCATTGTTTTAATTGCAGGGGGTCTGCTCAAACTGGGCATACAGAACTGCACATCCAAACGTAAAACATGCAATCAACCTGTACGGTGTTTATCAGGTACAGTACACGTGGGTACATGTAATACACGGTTTTACAGAGAGTACAAAGGGATATTGGCAATAGTTGAAAGAACTATTTCCACTGACATTTTTTATGGCATTCAGTTCAACAGTCCAATCTAAATGACACTGTTTCATGTTCAGAAATCTTCTTGAAGATATACAGTAGGGCCTCTCAATTTGGTCTGTCTGTGGTAGACTGGTGTGTGTGTGTGCCACATGCACATCATCTGGACAAATTGAACTCAGATCTACAATAAACTTTTTGGCAGAGCCCTGTCTATAAATGTTACACACGATCAACTGCAACACCCAAAATTTGTAAAAAATATTTAACGGTACGACAGCAAATAGAGTATACACAATAAAAATGATAAAAGGCTGCATTAGTCACTCTGCTACAAGGCCTAAAACATGCAAGCATTTTGATATCTTAGTGCTTTGTTTCTCAGATGTTAAAATGAACAGTTTCTCTCCTGCCAAATTCCAGAGCCCTAAAATGTACATGTATCAGTGCATCATGAAAAATAATTTATTATTAGTCTTGCAAATGTCGGTAAATGGCTAAACAATGTGGGCTTTTAGAACAATCTCTTTGAAACATTCCTGATGCTGAATTCGATTTTTTACAGCAGGTGGGCTTTGCAATGGAATGAGTGCTTAACAAAGTGTACCGCAATGCCCAACACACAATGACCATTTTCCACCCACACAGCTGTCTGGTGGACACCTGCAATTTGAATATAACTGAGCCCTATAGTACTGGGTACTTTCATAAAGTACAGAGCCAGGTTCATAAATTGCTGGTAGATCTAGGCCAGCCATGAATTCTGAAGGTCTTTCCATAGCTACATGTCTGCTTGACAAGCCAAACCAAATAGCAGCAGCCCCTCTCACAAAAAGAAGATATTAGAACCAATACATACACTGGACATATTTCAAATATCCTGGAAATCAAAAACTGGGATCGGTTCTTAACAATTCCAACAATTACCGCTTTCATGTTCAAGAACTGCTTCTTTAGAGAATAAAATTTGATGCCTGAAGTGAAAAAAGGTTAACCTTGAACTGCCAGTAGACCGTGGAGGCCTTATTTCTGACTGCTTACAAATGTTACATACATGTACTGGAACATGCACTTGTGCAAATCTGTCAGCACTTTATAAAAGAAATTCATAGATCACTATGAAGGTGCATTGTTCACTCACAGCGTGTTAACACCTTCCCAAAAAAAAGGTTAACCTTGAACTGCCAGTAGACCGTGGAGGCCTTATTTCTGACTGCTTACAAATGTTACATGTACCGGAACATGCACTTGTGCAAATCTGTCAGCACTTTATAAAAGAAATTCATAGATCACTATGAAGGTGCATTGTTAACTCACAGCGTGTTAACACCTTCCCAAAAGGAAAATAACAGTGCGTATCAAACAGACTGGTGAATTTCTTTTAAGAGTTAAAGATGATTTAAATGTTGTCCTGAAGATAATGAATTATCTGACACTAGAAGTTGTTTGCTATTGCACCAAACTTCCAAATAAATCACCATTTGAAACACTGGAATTCCTGGGGAAAGGAGGAAATACCATCCACTTTGTTTCTAAAGAGTATTGGAAGATGAAAAAGATCTCTGAAATATTTTTGGCATGTGGCTGCCTGCCATTCAGAGTGTCACCAGTACAATATGTATCATAATCATGGCCCAAGCGTGTCCCTGGGCTGGAGTGTTCAGAGGTAACAAATATGCATTACACATATACCTACTGGTACATGTAGATAAAACTCTGCACATAACGTGTGAACTGGCGCAAAAAGGATCTTTCCTTCAACTGTTCTCAAGAGTACAACAGTACAGTTACCGTGTATAAATACGGGTACATGTACATGTAAATGTAGGTCAAGCAATGCCAGTTGCATTTCCTACACAAGGTTTCTAATGGCAATAGTGCATCTTTAGCAATCGACAAGCAGTTTGCTGTCAACAACAACTACTTAGGTCCCTGGAAAACAAAGAAAGCTGTCTCATCTCTTGTCCACAAATGCGCTTTGTTTTACTACAGCCACTGAAACCAACCAATCAACCATAACCCGTGCTTAATCACAGGGATTAATTGTCCCTACCGGTAATTGGCAAACGTTACATGACCCAGCAGTCGGTCATATAGTTGCAGGCCAGTAAACAGGCTCAAAATTGCCTGCACCGGCCAAATCGCAATTTGTAGGCTGCCAAATTTTCTGTTATTTGAGCCTTTTGTGGGCTATGAACTTGAAAATTTGTAGGGGAAGAAAGGTGGAGACAAGCCACAGGAATGTCAGCTTGTGTCTGAGTGGATGTTGGATGAAATCTGTGCCCTGAAACGGTCTATTTTGCTATGGAGTGTTGGCATCTCTTTTCAAAATGGCTGCAGGCTTTACGACTGCTTTTTAGGGGTGATCCTTCGTGGATAAAAATATCTGAAAAAGTCATCGGATAAGCCACTGAGTATTGAGAGGAAAAGAAAAGATCAGCCGTGTGTTTTGAGAACTGGAGAAACTTGTATTTTTCGTGTATTTTTGAAGTGGGGTATTTTACTGTTGTCTGTGGAACTTTACTGGATTGTACCCATATGACTTGTACAGGCTTTTCATTAAACACACATTTTTTTCCATACAAGCATACAAGATACATGTACTATGCTACTCACTCAAGTAGCCCATCAACCTTGTAAAATTTCAAGCCTGAGCTACAAGACAGCAATATTTGGATCTGGCTCATAATCACAACACCAAAACTGGCCAGACGACCTTCTGCATAATCATAGTATTACTTCCCAGCCATCACAAATGTAACATGATCCTGCTGTCTGCCTGCAAATGAACTTAGCCATGGCTGATGATACAAGAATCACAATACCACAGCTGGCCAGACAACCATACATATTCATGAGATGAATTCAATGACCCTTGGACAATAGGATCTGGCAGAGTAAATTATATTGGCTCATTTTCATGTACATGTAGGTCTGCCGACAAAGATCACAGCCATTACTCACAAGCCCAGCCTATTTATCAAGGTCATGGCACTCTAGGCAGTACAGTACCAAAGGCTGCATAAAGTGAACTATTGCAAAAACCATTTTGGAAACAAAGAAAAACTGCTGACATGATGTTGATGTTGTTGAGTCTCAGAAACAAAAGAAAAATGGCTGATGTTAATCAAGTGTAGGCACAAAGTGCTGCACAATCATTCTTTAAAATGTATGAGCGTGTACTGTACATACTCTGTTCAATCTATTTATAATTTTAGCCCCAAATTATTGAGTGTTAATTTCTGCACACATTCCAATTTTTCAACCTCTATCTGGTAAGGAATATTGTTTAGAGATTATTTTATACCAAAACCATGTACCAAAACTGAGCATAACTTACCAGGGCCCCTTCCTTCACATCCAAATTTTCAAGAACAGCATCTCCTGCAAAAAGACAACAATAATATTGGTGGCAACTGTGCAATTTCCAGAATTCTTGAAACAAATGAGCCACTGTGATTTCTGGGAAGGTCTGAATATTATAAACCACAATGAGCAGAAAAGAGCAGTATGCTAATTCCAAAAAAAAAAATCGGAGGCATCAATGTACCCACCCCTCCCTCAAGTTTGAGACAAGTGCATCATATTATTAAATTAAAACTTTTGCATCAATTCCCTATTACACAAATTGCAATGGTCAATATGATGTTATCAACATACATGTACCCCCAAACAGACACCTCCCCCCCAAAAAAAACCAACAAAATAAGATTTAAAAATCTTGCACAGCAACATGATTACAATTTGAATTAAACAAATGAAAGAATTGAACTTGGTGATCTCAAAAATATGTATATTTCCCCTGAAAGGAAACACTTTTTATTAATATGACTTAAAAAGACTCAGCAAATTAGAGTGCTTACAGGTGCATTCAATAATACAGCTAATTAATCCAGCTAATTAATTTACAGGATAAGATAACATGACAAGATTATTTATTTAAACATATGTCATTTATTTGCTCGTGCAGCCAGTATCTGGATAAGTTTGAGATTCAAATGAACTTTGAAATGATAGAAATAAGCTTGATACAATATGCCATACATATTCCTGTCAACACATCATAAGTCATTCAGATACTATGGTTTTGTATGAACACAGGATAACTCCCCATTATGTAATCACAAGTGTACGGGTACTATCACCTGACATCAATCTGGAAATGTTGCCAAATATTTTATCGGAACCCTGAAACATCTCGGATTTGAATGGAAGTTTGCTCAAGTTTCCATCTCGAGACTGTTGTTAAAAATTTTAAGTTGCATCTTAGTCAGTGTGGTGCTGTGCAGATGCTACCAACATTCTCATATTTTTCCACCAACAACCCGGTTTGTTTCTCCTTATTCCTACCCATTTGAATGGGTACTAGTTTCTAACAATGATTATTTGGATTGAAGAAAATGCAAAGAATAAACATACTCAATGTCACATCCCTAAAAAAGTTGTTGAGATACGACCTTTCTGCATAAACATGGCTATAAGTAGTTTATGTTGAGCGTGCTAAGAGATGCATGACATGAAAAAACCTATGTATGTCAAGCACATCATGCAATCAATTATGGCGAAATTAGACACTTTCAAATAAAATTTTCCTGTAAAAATCTATGGGTCAATATTGATAAAAATACACAAAATCTTGAATTTCAAAAAACCTTTGTTTCTGCTACTGCTTGCACGGATGTGTAACAAGGAAATTACTACAAGGGTACAGCTCAAGCCAGTCATGCATTGTACAATGTACGTGTACCCCTAACTTAACTTGAGCGTGCTAAGAGATGCATGACATGAAAAAACCTATGTATGTCAAGCACATCATGCAATCAATTATGGCGAAATTAGACACTTTCAAATAAAATTTTCCTGTAAAAATCTATGGGTCAATATTGATAAAAATACACAAAATCTTGAATTTCAAAAAACCTTTGTTTCTGCTACTGCTTGCACGGATGTGTAACAAGGAAATTACTACAAGGGTACAGCTCAAGCCAGTCATGCATTGTACAATGTACGTGTACCCCTAACTTAGAAAAGAAAGGGTAAATTACATACATACACATGTCAAAGGCACAGTACAGTAACAATACAAACTTAACGTGTGGTTTATTCTTGCAATTAAGGACACTACAGTGTGGTATTCTATGACAACTTCCTCCAGAATCTCTCAATTTCTCCTTGCTTGTTTGCATGCTACAGCCGAAAATGTCTGAGTAAGTTTAATTACGGGGTTTAATAGAAAGTTAGACGTTCATTTGCAGGCAGGTTTTGAGCCAAAGCAGTGGCAATACATGCATACATGGAAATGTCATTTTCCCATAAATTTTAAAAGAAAGAAATAACTAAAAGATACATGCATCCACTACACAGCTATTGAACTTGGCGTCATCTTCAAGTATGATACAGGTACCAGTATGTACAGCTAGCCAGGGCAGCAGTGCAGGTACATGTATGTGTGTATGCATGATCAGTGATCTAAAAAAGAGTCAGCTCTTCACAGCATATAAGACTAAGAAGAAGGTAAAAATGGCTTGGTAATAGTGATGTGATTAATGACATTCTTAAATTGGTGGGGAGCTGTGTGGCCTGCTGCCCAAGAATGTTGACTGCCCTGGAATGCCTGAATCTGCAGAATGGATGGGTGCATGCCTTAACTAGGTGTACAAGTACGGTATGCCTGCACAGGTACATTGTTAGTAAATGCATAGTAATTAGTATGTAATTAATGCTTTTTATGTACAAATATACATGTACTAAATGTACATGTACATGGTAAATCAGAATTAACTAAAAAACCTGATGACTGAAAAGAGAAAAAAAGTAAGCCCTACTTGTATTTTAAGATAAAACGGATTATAATCTTCATTTTACCAGTATACACTGGTAGTCTGCATTTTCAATTTGTTAACAATTTTCTCTACTTCAAGATGCAACCATAGAGGAAGGACACAGAAAGAGTTTGAACTGCCTGGGCTATAACGTCTGGCCAATTACTGCTTTTTGGCATAGCTAGAGTGGCCCTCGCTACGCACCATCTGTTTCACAACCACAAAACCCCTTTGTACCCTATGATCGCCGCCGCAATTTTTTGCTGGTAATCTGCATCCTTAAAACTTTGTGTACTGAGGTATAGGAAACTGAATATTCATGTATTTGTTGGTGCTTAGTATGATCTCATAACATCAAACTTAGTACTTGCGCAGTTGTTTGCATTATGCCAAGTGCCCAAAATGCACATGTGAAGTCGTTGCCCTTAATGAACGCTTTCTTCTGGAACTATTTTGGGAATAAATAGCCCCGTTGTTTACAGTATTTTGCGCTTTGTTTGAATAATTTTTATTATGGCATTTGCACAAAAAGCGTATTTTACGACATTTCATGATCACTCCCTGTGATGAAATAGCACATTTTGTTCCTTATGAACTCAGCTTTCCAGTAGTAGTGAATATTTTGTTGGCCAGTCTTAGCCAAATTTGTACCAAACCTTTGAAAACTGATGTGTTGGAGGAAGATGAATTACATTACAAACTTTGCATGGATTATGGAACAGTGTATCAACATTGGAAACGTTTATTCAAGATGGCAAAAGTAGGTCTAATATTGGGGATTCTTCCCTTTGTATTTTCTGGTCAAAGCAACAATTAAATTGCAAGCAAAATACTATGAGTATTGCAAGGATATTATTGGCCCCGCTTGTCTGTCTAATCTGTGGGCAGTAACCAGGCATTTTTGGAATGTTTTCTATTATTCGTTTGACTCGGCGGCGACGATCATTGAACATTTTGAAGTGCCAAGAGTTGCAACTCCCTCCGTGTCCTTCCTCTATGATGCAACTAAAGTTTCCTTCAACATTGTAACAGAATTTCTTTAAAACTGTACCAAGTCCTTCCAAACCTAAATTTTGCATGGTCCTTCGAAAGCAGGTGTTCTCCGAGAGTATTCATATCAATCAACTCTGTGAATGGCTAAGACTTTAAACAGCCCCCAGTACCATACATGTACATGTACCACAAGTTACACACGCACAAATACTGAACTGTTCTTATAGAACTATCCCACAGGTGACACAGGCTTACGTAAGCACAGCCCATAGCTACACTATGCACATTACACATGAACATGTTGCCTTTCCCTTGCTCCTGAAATTTAAATGGTAACTGAAAAATGTCTGAGGTACCGGTACGGTGGTAAAACAAAGAGAACATGGTTTGTTTCAGGTTTGCCTAGGGAACTAGTTTGGGAGTAATTGCAGAAAACCCCACAACACAACAATTACCCCCTAGAATTTTGGCTAAGCAGTCAAAGTCTTGCACATCTGAAGCACTGTCTATGCAGTGCAAAGATGTCAAAACAATTATAAGTCCGAACCAAGAACTCTGTCAGCAGCTAAGATGTTACGTGGCCATGAGGTGGAAATACCCTCATCTGAGACCGAAGCAACACAAAATGAGTGGGGAGCGTTGAAAAATTGTACGGTAAGTTCAAACCAAGTAGCCTGTTTGTTGGTGGCTGTGACGTTATGTTGCTATGAGGCATAAGCATTTATGAGCGATCAGACCTGACTCCAAAGCCGACGATAGATGTGTGGAAGGGTGTTCAGTAAATTAGACCCGTAAACAGGACCCTTTATGTATTCCATCGATACTGGGCCCTGTCTTAGGATGTACATGTATGTAAAAAAAGGCAATTGTTTACCTCCTAACATCTGCTACAAGTTTTATTAGCTGAAATTTCACCAGTAGGAGGGGCCTATGCTCACTACTTCAGTGTCAGACTATGTGTAGGGACAGTTGATATTAGACCGTCGCCAGCTAAACTTAGGCCGTGTCCGAAACAGGCTTCTAGAGCTATGGCTAGGTCTATTTTCTGCACGTCTCCATGCATTTCCAATGGAGTGAAGACCTAGACCTAGCTCTAGACAACAGATTCGGATGCAGCCTTACATTACAAAACAATCTTTAGCTGGCTAAAATTTAAGTAGACACGGTGGACAGCAACCGCTTTGATGCTTATAAATGCACACCAAATTTCAAGCTGACCCCGTAGTCTAGTTGATAGTGTGTACGCCATACAAGTTTTACTATTTATCTTAACAGCAAATGTGAAGAGCTCCCAGCTGGGTTTGATTCCCAGCTTTCAACTTTGTCTTTGTCCCAAAAACTGAAAATGTCTTTTGTTATTTATAAATTGACACCAACATTTAATTACAGACAGACAGAATTCTATTGTTAGGCCTACATTTTCTTTTTTTGTGATTTATGATTCTGGAGGTTTTGTTCTAAGGGTAAAAGTCCAAAATTGTGAAATGGTTTGATTCCCACCTCATGAATATTAAGACACGAGGTCTATGTTGGAGCAGAACCAGACTACGATTTGTCAGGCCAAGAATTTTTTAAATATAAAGTAAAATTTTAACAAAACACTGGCATGTACACGGCTAGATATCATTTATATATGTTTAAACTTATAGGCCTATATCCAATGCCTAAAATGGCAATTAGTAGGGTCAAAGTACGAGTTCATATAGTTACTCGGGATCGGGCTTGGTCAAGCAAGTACATGTATACTTACCAAGTACCATGCCTACAGCGCCTACCCCCAGAACTGTTGGGTCCGACGTCCGATCGTGGGAGCGGAGCGGACGTCGGACCCCACAGTTCTGGGGGTATACATGTACATTTCACACAAATGTACCGCTAAAACATGATCATACTAAAAAATAAGGCCTAACAAGCATAAGTTAAGTAAAAAGTAACACAAGACCTACTTACCTCCCCAAATGCCAAGCTTCAGTTGCGACGCATCCAGATTCTCAACATACTGACCGAGAAAACGATTCAGTAAGTCCACAACAAGTGATTCGAAAACCATTTTAACCGATTTACGGTTAAAAGCGCCGCAAAATCGGGTAAAAATGGGCGGGCAACTGTTGACAAATCAACCGTCTGTTCCGTGAGCTTCATCGATCATGCATCCGTCCCATCGAGGGTGGTCAGTGCTAGTGGAGGTCAAAGGTTATATTTCCATACCTAAAGTTTTGTACCAGTCGCTTTGTTGCACCATGGTTGCACAAAACAATGAGGTGGTGAGGGGTACATAAAATCTGAAGGTGATGGGGCTATATAGCCTCCACTTATTTGACCAGGGAAAAGGCTATTGGATTATCCATACCCATACAACAGACACACGCTTTTTCGTGATGCAAAAAAGACAGATTTTTAGAAGCCAAACAACCAAACTATTAGCATGAAGAGCGCCTCCTAGCGTCAGCAGGTATCTGGGATCGGGAGGGGACCTGTTTCTGGATCTAGATCTGTGTTATACTGTGCAATCTCCTTTACAGGGTAACCCGCACAGTACGTTTAATACTCACATATTCAAACATTTGGCTTGCCTTAACTAATCAAACAAGTCCTCGTTAATTTAGGCGTCAAAGTAATTTTTGCCGGTGGTATTTAACTTGGCAAAAAAAAAGACTTTTCAGCTGGCTGAAACATATCAAATTACACTAACAATCACGCATTTTGAACCAGTAAATCAAATTTCTGCGGAATCAGCAACAGCACTACCTACTAAACATTTTGCAGCTCAAACTTAAATACTGAATGAAACTGAGAAAAAAATCGTGGTTCCCACATTCTAACGTTATCCATAGTTTTGTATATACATATTATGCTAAAACTCTTGCCACTTCATTGCATTAAATTTTGTTTAGGCACGAAAGGCCTCTTGCACACCTTTTCCGGTCTGTTTTGCGTTATATAATAAAATGTACACATTTGCTGATACGCCATGCTGGGATTTCATAATGCTTTACTAAAATTATTTCTTCTGTACAAACTGAAGACTTCGAGACTAAATTTCCAAGCTAGACTTTATTAGTTTCTTGTCTGGTTGGTCTTTATCACTTTTACCAGAGATAGTTTATGGCGTTAATATTTGATTTATAATACAGATCCGACTTCCCCCAGTCGCCCAGTATTTCACCATTCAGGTTCTTTTACAAATGAGGACAAGGTAAACAAGACGTGTTTTCAACAGATTTTCTTCATTGTAAATTTTTTTATCCCAAATATTAAAGTACACAGAGTGGTACATCCCAGGCCTTATATTAAAAAGAAATTTTCACTGGGTGAGAAAATTCCGTTGAATTGTCAACAGATCTGGCTTTTGTTTGCTTTATAAAAAAATCCATGCGATTTAACACGACCTATTCATTGCTCTTCCGTTTTCATACGACACGCGTCATCTGGGCTAAACCTAAAAGCAGATGGGCGATGCCAAACTTTTTGTTAAATTCATTGAACAGGAGCTTGTTTGTTACGGGAATCCCATGAACCACGCTGCCAAATTCCAATCTCGAAGTGCTGGCTTTCAGAGCATTATAATTAACACATGGCCATTACGGAAGAGTAAAATGAGCCTTGTTCAAGCCACTTTTTAGGGCAAGAAACAATAAGCGAGGTGGCAAGTAGGTCTTCAAATTGCAAATGCTACCTACAATGACACCTCTCTCTTATATCAGACCCTAAACCTGGTTTCAGCGCTTTCGCGCCATAAGTGGTGTGAGTCAGTATCAGGTTAATGCCCCATAACTATACAAACACCGACTTTTACTGGCTTTTTCCAGCCCATCATTCATTAAAAACTGCAATGTGTTATAACCGTACGAGAGGAAAACACTGAGCTGATTACTCGGTTGTTCCGACTGTTTTCCTAATCATGCTCAGAGACAGTGGCAAATCCAGCGTGGGCAGGATAAGCTGGCCTTTGGAGATAATTTCCATTTATTTAACAGAAGGGATCTGAAGGCGCCAAAATTTCGGAAATGGCAACACCACTTTTCTTGAGGTAAATATTTTTTTACGGTTGACAAAAATAACCTGTTTGAAAAAAAATTCCATGTTGCCACGAGCTTCATCCAAACCTAGATACGCCACCGAATAGGTGTTGCAGAAAATAGCGTATCGTTCATCAAAATCATCTATAATCTGAATACGACAGAACTCTATGAGGTAGGCCTATGTCATTATGTACACGTATATATCATTACAGCTTAAAAATCCAAATCATCCTACTTCTCTTTGCATACCGTCATTCTCTAATTACTGTACTTCATGGCGAGTTCAAACTGACATGAGCGATCATTATCAGGCGCGATCAGTGCACAGTCGAATGAGAAGGGCGATGACCAGAAGACGGAACGCGGAGAAGCAGGGTGTTACGAGGGCGCCACCAGCTAAAGAGAGAAAAAGAAGAAATCGAAAGTCAAAGTGATGGGTACACTACCTTTGCATACAGCCTACGTTTAACAGTAGGTCGACATATAAAGTTTAATCTTAATATCATTTCTTTCTGATCTAGCCTTTGCTCTTGACAACGTGGGGTTCGATATGCGTAAATTTACAGAAATTATGATGGGTTAAATAATTCATGGGTGTTGTAATGTGTGATTGTACACTTTCTGTCAAATTATTTGTACTAAATCAGCAGACAATATCCTTCCCCACTGTAACTCTTATCATACAACATCTGAATAAATATGCCTTTTTGAAAAACTAAACTGGCTCAGAGAACATTGAATCGCTGGTACATCGTGGCTTTTCACATAAGGCGGACAATAAAAAATATACCCTATAAGCTTGTAAAACAAACGAAACATTCAATCGAAGCACTAACTATTTTAAAACTAGTTAAAATCTTGTCGCTATTAAAAGCCTTTGCCTGAGTGAGAAGCGAAAAGGGCAAGTGCGGTACCGGTCAGATGACGAGAATTATTTCAGGCATTGCATAAAACAATGAATGTTTCGCCTTATGAAATTTGAAATTCTAAATTCAATCTGTCAAGTCACCTCACGACATTATGAATAAAACTGCAGTTACAATTTTAATAATAAACTAATCCTATCCGACCGGGATCCGCCCGTGTCTTTAAAACTGAAGGCCTTTAAGTGCTCTGAACGCTGACATTTTAACAGCATGGCCTTTTGACATTGTACATTTGGTGAGCCAGTATTGCAGCTGCATGCTCCGGTCATGCTGTTGCATGTTGTCCCTGGTGGACACTGACAGATAGCGGCACACCCAGGTCCATACCGGCCGGATAGACACTCTACCGGGTGAGTTACGAAAAATCAGAAACATACAAGAGTATAAACGCAGGGTAAACCAATTAAACGGAGAACTGCTGCATACGCCATCAAGCTGAGAAAATGCTCAAGTATATTGTGACATCGAATTGAAGCCAATGTCAAAGCTGCGTTTGGGACTAATTAACGGTCAGCAGAAACACTTAAGCATACTTTGCAGCATGAAAGTGCCAAAACGTTTTGTGCACGTTCACTGCTCCCGTTCCTTTCAACTTTCCAAACAGTTTATTGAAAATTGTTTTTGAACAGACAAACCATCCCGTTCAGAATCACCAACCATCTTCCAACATGACTGCTTCCATTAATTCATGACTGACGACTGGAACACTTTACAGTCTAAAATTTCTCTTGGCTCATAAAACTCAACCAGTTACTAATTTTTTTGTTATTTCATTTGAAGAGATCATACCAATATGCAGTGGTGCGTTACAAAACAGCTACCTTGTTTGACATGAATTAATTTGGCTTAAAGAGCACATATACTTTTCCTGAGACCTCCAGAATACCGTACTAGTGCCCTACCAACTGAGCTATGCAGCCTTCTGTTGCTGGCTCTCCCCAGTGGTCAATATTTTTGTTCGGGACGCGCTAACCAGAAGCATTAAAGCTGAAAAACCATATAGCCAGGGATCACACCCAAATTACACGATACAACCTCGGAAGTGTTGAACAGGGATCACTCTCAGAGGTAGGGCTTTTTGAAAGCATATCTTTTTGAATTTATAGATTAACTTTCTTTTTGAATTTATAGATTAACACCCTGCTTATAAGGACAGGGGCGGATCCAGACCACTTAAAGGTGGGAATAATTTTTACCGTGGGCTTCCTGTCCAGTACTATTCGCCCATTTGGGGGAAAGGGCCATTCTCCATTATCGTGTTTGGATTTTTCCACAAAGCCTACCCACCTTCATCGCACGTAGCGCCGTAGTATCCTGGCAAGCAGACACATTTCCCGTCCTTGGGCCTGCAGGTACCGTGATCCTTAGCTTGGAAGCATACCTGTGGACATTGGAAGGTGCAGTTGATGCCATAGGTGCCTGGTAGACAGGCTGTTGATAATCAAGATACACTTTGTGGTAGGGTACTTAGCCTAAACCCAACATAAAAAGTAGTTGAACTTTCACTTTTAAGGATGAAACTGAAGATGATCCCATTGGTTATAACATGGAGGCTTACAACCCTCTTGTCAACTGCATTAATCATTAGCCTATCGGCATCGTTCTTTTAATAGCAACTCTGATTTCAAATGCATTTTCTCAATCGTTTTGAAAATCGTTTTGTTATCAACCGAGATATTTTCGTTTTAAGTCTCAAATCTATGGACAACTCGAAACTTACGATGACACATGGCAGCATTTAGTGTGTATCCTGGGCAACATACACGACGTGACCTGTAACCGGTACGAATTTCTGTCTTGTACGCAGTTTGGTATACGGCTCTATGGAAAGAATCAACAACAGAAATGGGTTTGAAATGATATTCGTTTGTATCTATGATTAGACAGAGGTATAAAAAATTACAAGTTGAAGAAAATCGTTATTGGCCATTTGAGTCAACTTCGAAACGAATCATCGGACATAAACTACGGTACGCTCCTGACTTCACGCGATACAGATATATGCGTGTGGGTGAGACGCTGCTGTAAATCATGTATATTTATACATCGAGTGAAATCGGGAAAATCTCAGCTGAATTTTCCAATTCTGATTTTAGTTTTTCTTGTTCTTTTTATTGGGGGGGCTTGTAGTATGCATTCTACTGCCGTTTATGTTTTATTTTAAAATTCGACTTTCTTTGTAAGTGAAAGTATCATTCCACTACTCCGGGAAGAAAG